ATTTCTTCTGTGATTTAAAAGTACAATAAGCACAAATACCTAAACCCCACAACGCAAGTAAATAAAAATCACTGTAATGCATATTATGAATTAAATCACCGACCACAATAATTTTAGGTTTTAATCCTTTTCGAGAGATATAAGTCCTACTTAATTTTTAGAATTGATATTTTTTATATATATAAAAAAAAGATTTATATGTACTACATAATGTCTTATGCCAACGCTTATAAATTAAAAGGTAAAAAATAGTAATGAATTGCTTGCTCTGATTCCTTATCTTTATCCTTATACATCCAAATGTTTTATCTATTGAATCTAGGGCAATTAAACTGCATAGTTCAAGCTGATTGAATTTCTCGGCACATTTCTATCCGAGAATTGATTGTCTGTTTCTTTTTGGATTTGTTTAAACATTTTTGTTAAATTATTAAAATGAAGTAAAAAATAATATATTTTTTACATTATTATTATTATTATTATTTTCTACTATTACCTCATGGTTATAAAATTGGAATATACTATCAGTTTTATGTTTTAGTAATAATTATAATAATTTTGATCACGTGTTTTAGTGTCATACAGTAAAAGTGTTCAAAATGGAATTGTTTGTATAGAACAATTATCTAATTTTTGTGAAAATGTAGATTTTCTTTTAAATAGTGTCTCTAATTTAAAAAAATGCCCAAGTTTATATACGAATGATTTTTTTTGAGTTACGAAGCTTCTCTCATGAATAATCTCCACCGAGAAGTTTACTTCTATTAAATATTTACTGAATGCGCCATAAAAAAATACTTTATGAGCCATATAACCACTCCGAGCAAAAAGTTATTTTTTATTTTAAAGATTATTGTTAATCATGTAGAATTAATTACCTTTAGCTGACATTTAATACAAGTTTTTAATTTACCTAATAAGTACATATATTTTTACACCTAATGTCTTTATTAAAGAATCAAAGATTGTTTATGAAATATCTTTTCCTTCCCCTTTGTTAACTATTTAGGTTTTGTATAGGATTTTTCTTGTATTAAATGAAATTGAGATTTTCTGATGAACCAAACTGGGATACTTTATTCTTCACACGTTAGCAGAGAGCATAGACAATAGACACACGTATAGACTAAACTAAACATAGATAACATAATTGTTTCTTATAACTGATCTCCTCAGACAGATTAACAATTTTACCTTATTTTTATATATATATGCTAAATAAAATTATATATCCAACACCCTTCTACGAAACTTGTCTTTTACCATTTAATAATGTCGGTTTTCTCTTCATTTAAATTATTCATTTTTCTTTTCAGTTCATCTTCAGCCTTCAAATACTTCTTTTTGATATAATATTCTAGAAACTACACCTAAATATTATTGAAAAGGTGAATTGTTATTCAAATGGAAATTTTAAACTATTAATTCATTTCCGTACATAAAAATAAAAGTTTATTCTTTTAACCTGTTTCTGAAAATCTATAAAACCCGTGTCCTGAAGAACTGGTTGAAGTGGACTATCGAGGAGTTCCCACAGTGAGTTAATACTTGGAGGTGGAGCATTCAGAAGCCAACTGACCACACTACTTTTATAATAATTGTAAGTTAGAACACAGAATACTCCCGTCACTAGAATAGTTAGCTTTCTAACTGAAATGAAAACGAAAATTTTGCTATATTGGGTAATTATTGTTATTATTCAATATTTTAAAGTCTGACTTTAAGAAACGGATTGCTAGCCTTCGATTTCCTATGGAATTAAAGCGAGAAATCATTCATTTCAATATTCCAAACCACTTGTAGTTATAGAACGTGTATCAAAAATCGTTAGCAAATCAATTTTAAGGCCGAGAATATGAGGTAAATTAATGAAAAAGATCCCTTTCTTTCTTTAACAATTGAGAACAATAAGATCATGCCACGAAGTACTGACATTCCTACAATATACAATTACAGGATTCTAGTAGCGTGGACTAAAACATAAATATTTGAAACAGCAACATCTTGTAACAAAAGGAAATTGTAATATTTAGTTATATCAGAAACAATTATCGTTTGACCATTATAAACTTATTTAATTTTGCTAAAGTAAGAGCGACCCAAGTGCACGTATGAAGATAATTTTCAGTCTTTTAATAGAAACTTTCATTTCTTAGTACAGGTTACCATAATTTTATTGTGATTAAATTTTCATCCATATTAAAGTATTACTCTTTACTACGTATCCATAAATGTCTAATTCAGTAAGAATGTAATATGTCATAGTTTTTACTAAGAAACTTCAACTCCCTCGACAAGGGTAGCAGGGAATGCAACGTTATATTAATCAAAATGACATTACAGCAATCTTATAACCGGCGTGACATCATTTTCTAGAAAATAAAGAGCATGAACTTGACTAAAAACATGACAGCCACGCACTTTGAAACCGATTACTATTCGGTATAAATCAGTAGAGATATTTTTGAATTAAAATTTAAGTAGACTCAAAGCTATGTCTACACTTTATTATTAAAAATAGCTCAGTAAAACTCAACCCTCACCTGGTATTGTGTAAACCGTTATCTTGTACGTTTGTGCCAGTCTAGGAGTCATATCAACTTAGGATACGAAATTTTTTGTGACGGGCAATCTAAAAATCTGTAATATGAAATACCTTAAGGTCAAGTTGCTCAACATATTTAAGCACAATTAGGATTAACTTAAGAACCATAAGATGTCTATCAAATTGCCGATAATATTTAATTTTATTGTGAGTTATAAACTTTTATTTATAGTATTAACACTGTTTCTCTGTGTATTTTATAAACTTTCAAATTATACCATAACAGTTCAATTACGTACTTGAAGGTAAACATACCTTTTCTTTAAATATACTTTAAAATTAAACTTGATATTTTAGTCCATATATAGCCCAAATAGCTTTTTATAAGATGATAATAATAGTTGAATTTCATCGGCATTATAAAGCAACTAGAAAACTATCATAAAACCAACTCCGAACCAAGTGGCAAGACCGGGATATGTAGCTTTAGTATTGCCATCTAATCAGTAATAAGTAGATGGAATTGGTAGAATGTACGGTAGTAACGATTGTCATATATCACCCATTACTTTATCTTCACATAACAAACACAGAATTTTACTGATTGGCAAGTTACCGCTTCTTGATTGCTAGCTACTATTTACTGAAAATAATGAAAATGAAAATCCAAACAAATCATTTAAGAATTGAAAATAAATGTTCATGTAGCGTTTTAAAAGAGAATGAAACGACCATTGTTTGGTCTTTCATCACCGTAATTTGACTAGACTTGAATGTTGACGTGTCCTTCTAAAAAATGAGAAAATGTTTTAATTATTATTATAGTTAGATTTTTGTTCCTCGTGTCCCATTCCTTCATACGGCTTTTACAATATTTAACTCTTAATTTTTTAACTCTTAATACCAGAAACATTATTAACAAAGATTCATAAACACAATAAGCCCTAAGTTCTGTTTATTCAAACAAAGCGTGATATGATTTAACATAATATAGATTATTATGCAATCAAATAGTTATATTTTAATAAATAAAGAAGACGCAACTATATTATAGTCTATACTTAATACTTTATGAAATTTTTGAACTATTTTTTGAATTGTTTTTTTTAAAGATATTATTATGCATAAAATCAAAATGAGTGATGAAAAATTATTTATATGTAATAAATACAGTTTATTATATTTTTAATACGCTTCTGAATGTACATATTTCATCTCCAACGCTAAGAACGATTTAAATAACAGAAGATCATTTTGTCTCAAACAGTTTAGCATTTTATATACATCACATTAATTAATTAATTAATTTAATACCAAAAATATATCAATATTCAGCATAAGTATAAGTCGTCAATTTCAATACGTGCAACATTCTTCAAACAGATCAATTTAAAACCAAAATTGTTTTGGCAACAGCTCGGAGTCAGCAAGTCACTGGCCAAATATTTTGAACGCGCCACGCCATTGCAGATAAGACTCGTAAAATGAAATCATACTATAGTTTACTAAACTGTCTTTAACAAAATGATTCGTAAAACTATATATGTGGCTAGTAAGAGAAGAAAATACCGCCAACATGAAATATAGCTTTTCAGAATTATACATTTTTTTAATAAATAGCTTTTAATTATTATCGTTAAATATAATATATGATTGTTGATTTTGACCTAAAAAAGATCAAAACCAAATATATGTGGAACTCTTCTATCGATAAAGAATAGGTCACATATGTATGTATATATAAAAAAAAATACTATTGTCGTTTGTTTATTGTTCTAAACATGAAAGACAAGAAGAACATCTTGTTTTTGAAAACAACTATAATTCAGTAAGTTTAATATGTATTTTAAAAACTAAATTACAAATTATATTGCACATTAATAAACTATAAGCAAACATTAAATAATTTGATTAGAATTTCATAAGTGTGATAAACATATTTCATGGGGGAAGTACCACCCTCTCACAAAAAATAAGCGTGAAGTAGCCTTAAATGGCTACGATTCGTCCGATGACTGAGAGAACAAGTTGTGCTTTCCCTTTTTCCTCTCTTTACTGTCCTTTCCCATTTCTCACCCGTTACCTTTTCCCACTTTTTCCTTTTCTCACTCTTTCCTCTCCCTCTTCCCCAAGCAAGGGTGGCAACGCAAAATTAAAATTTAAAAATTCTGCAATGATACTGACTTTTGTCTGTATGTATTTTGACATATTAAAAGCGTTGGAGATGCAATTGGAGTAGTTCCATTGAAAAGTAATCATAAAAGAATATATTGTAACTGTGTTTATTTTAAATTCAAAAGGTCATGTTCATCACTTTTTATTATTATTTTTAGATACTACACAATACAACAGCGTGCATATGTTCTATTATATATTGTAAGAGATGTTCAAAGCGAGCGTTACGTATTAGATCATGTATGAGTAAGCCTTAACATTATTATTTCCATATTTTCTTTCAGCGATTCGCAATGATTCTGAAAAATAAACATAAGTTATTTTTAAATAAGATCATTTATTAAAGAATATTAAATTTATATTTTGATTTATAGTATATCATTTAGATTACATACGCACCTTTCAAAAATAACTAATATTACAGCCAATATGTATCCTGCAGCCAACAGTATAAAGGCTGGAGCTGCGCCTCCCAAAGCCAGCGCTCGCGGAGTACTGCCTTCACATTTGTTGTCGCGACTCCAAGTTCTCTTATGAACACGATTTAATATTCCTGTTTCCATTAACCGTAAAGAACTAGAATTCGGAAAACGTTAAATATAATAGTTAATTTAGCAGGTCACGTATTAGGTTAATTTTATTTTCAGACTGTTATAATGATATAAAAACCTATATATTAATATTTAATTTTCTTCTCGGTTACCTCCATCTAAAGAATTCCTTATAGGGACTGTTTTTCTGCACGCTTATGTACCCCAAAGTCTTTTCCATTGATTGTAAAGAACCCAAGTCACATAGCTCGCGTTGGTTGAATGTCTCCCCGATTATTTTATTCGCACTATCCAATTCACCGTGATAAACATAGCCTGTAATAAATATTGATATTTTTATGATATTGGATGCAAATAACAAATTTGTAGTATGGTGATCATAAAAAATTTTTAAAATGCATTTTCGCCTTTTGTAATTAATAACTCTTAAAGGTCTTTGTCATAATAAAATCTTTATGGCATAGTATTAAGTATGCGTTCCGGCTAAAAGAATCGTATTAACATTCATTTCCAAAAAAAAATCATAAATAACCTACTAGATATTTTATTTGGATAATATTTTAATATGACATTTTTATCATAAATTGTTTTCTTTTGTTTTTAAACTCTATACGGTAAAAAATAAAGAAACGACATTATTTACTACAGAGTATTAAGATGGCATTACGCCGGAGTGACGTATTCGTTAAGGTAACTCGTTTTTGACATCGAATCGATATGGTTGTGTAGTTTTTATGTATACAGGAGTGGAGAATAGTCTGTGGTATCAATCTTTAATCTGCTTAATTCTTGATACTGAAGAAGATACTAAAATTTTACCTCCCTCCTTCATTAAATTTATCCCATCTTTTGGAAATTTCAATATCGATTTTCCTTTTTTTTCTAATTTTTTCATTTTCTTTTTCAGTTCATCTTCGGCCTCCGCGTGTTTTGGATTGAAATAATAATCTGATACCTACAAGAAAATGCAATACAAAATGTAGAAATTCTAAATATACTGTTTAATAAAAGTAAGACATTCCCACTTGTAGCCAAGAATAAGTAAAACCCGTGTCCTGAAGAACTGGTTGAAGTGGACTATCCAGGAGTTCCCACAGTGAGTTAATACTTGGAGGTGGCGCATTCAGAAGCCAACTGACCACACTACTTGTATAATAATTGTAAGTTAGAACACAGAATACTCCTGTCACTAGAATTGTCAGTTTTCGAACTGAAATGATAATGAAAACTAACTATAAATTGAAAAATTATATCTATAAAACATTTTCTTAACTATCTTACCCGATGAAATAGATCGCAAATCCTCGAATTCTTCAAAAACTGAAAAGAAAACATATTCCTTTTAATGTTTTTAATAAATTTTATTACGTTTAACACAAAGATGTATTAAACACATCAAAAGGTCACATAATATATTTTATTTATACTTACATTGTTGGCAAATCAACGCTAAAACTGAGAATATGGGAGACACCAATGATAACGGTCTTCGTCCCTCCACAATCATTGACAGCAGTAAGATTAAACCGCAAAGTAAGGTAATTCCCACAACAGATAACCACGCATTCTTTGAAAGGGGTTTTAAAAATTGATTTTCGAATTTTCCAACTCCTTGGGTTGGAATTTTATAAAAAAATGTTGCCCTGTTATTAAAAAAAGTAAATTATAAGAAATTATACACAATTAAAATATGTATGACAAATTACAAATATTTTATAATAGTCATTATGAAGTTATACGTTTTCTGTTCCATACCTCGGTTGGCAAAAACTTTAAACTTACATAAGCCCTGTGGCCTACTAAAACCCTTTTTATTAGTATGGTAATAAAATTAAAAAGATTTTATAATATTTTGTGATTACGGATTCTACAAGCTCAGGCTACCCCAGCACCGCCGTTGGGACGCCCACTTTATTTCTCAGAGGCCCCCACGGGCCTGCTCCCATGTCGATATAAATAGGCAAATATTTCCCGTGTACTTCCATCAGTTGATGGTAAGGCCGAGTGCCATGCCGACCCGGATGTGCCCACACCTAGAACCGGCTGCCTACTACCAGGAAGTTGTAAACTTTTGGAACGCACGAATCTAAGGGATCGTTCGCTCGCACTCTTTACGCTTTATCCTTCTGAAAATGGCATTTTTGCCGAAGAAGTCCACTACTGCCCAGGCCTTCTCGCTTTCGGTCAGCTGTATTTTGTTGGCCACACACACATGACGGCCACACCACTATTGTTTATTCTTCCTCACCACACTGTGCATAAGAGGGAGACTCTTAATTCAGATACTTCCAAGAATAAGTGATAACTGAGGTAACCGTGTTTTTGATCGAGCCATGCATCCAAAAACATGACAGGATAATAGTGACGACAATACGACACGAAGCAGTAGCAGTCAAGTTTCCAGCCTATTCCCATCGCAGGAGAGGAAGCGCACTCATTCGGAACCGGAGGAGAGCATCTCATGGCCTTCGTCTATTAATTATACTACAAAACTGCTTAAGTTTAGTGATCCAATCGTTATTTAATTCCATGTATGAAGATAATAGTTTTCCTTTGAAAACTTATAATGTCTCTCAGTGCATGAGACGAAAGATAATAATTTAAAGATAATTCGATGGACCCGCCACCGTGCGGGTATCGGGTCCATCGAATTATTATCTTTAAATCAGCGTAGTATAGGTTACTTTTATAAGTAACCTTAATAGAAGTAATGTTATGCTCTTAATTACTTTTCCTATATGGTTAAACGTATTCCAAGTTACCTTCCAATTCATTCACATTCTTTCATTTATTCACCCTAGTAATTACAACAGTTTTATTCTGATAATAATATATAAAACGTCTATACAGTACTTTGTGTCTCTTAACAAAATAGCATATAAGTTAATTTACATTAACATTTTGTATTTTTATGCACAAAATTAAACTTACTCTACACGAGTAACAGGGAATGCTACGTCATATTTATCAAAATGAGATAATAGCATTCTTAGAACCGGAGTGACGTCATGTTCTTGGAAATAAATACCATTTGAAGCGGTCTGAAATGAGATAACAACACTCATTAAAACTGATAATTATTTGCAATAATTAACTAACTACATATATGTATAACTAATTTTTATTTTTGTTTGTTTAAGGTTTACTTACATACGCATGTTCCCGTTTGTAATCGCCAATCCATACATCCACTACTGTGTAATTATACCTATAAAATGAAGTATAATATTTGATGGTGTTTAATTGACTTGGTAAAAAAATTATATTCGACATTTTATTAGAAATCTAGAGATATATCTTACTTTTTATACGTGATATTCTTTGGTAAATATAATGATAGGCTAGAAGAGTGGCATAAATGATTTTCACAAATAATATTAGGAACTAGCTAAAGTATGTATTTAAAATTAGTCACATGATATTCACCTGATATTATGAATTTCTGCGATCTCGTGCATGAATATGGTCGAAGTATGAGTTAAGGTAGGCACGTTCGGAGCTGGGTTCCAAGTCAAAATCATCTGAGGGTCGAATTTTTTTGGTGGAGGAGACATCTATATAAAGTTTTAAATCAGACAATTAGCTATCAGTCAATTTAAATACTTTGCCAGTCCAAGGCACTAAACTTTCAAGATTAAATGTGATTCAGTCTATTTCATACTCACGACTAGAATCATTTTTAAAACCATTTGATGGTAATCAAATCGCCGATGATATTTAGAAGTTCTTGTGAGATTTAGACCTGGAATTTAAAACGTGAAATAATTAAAATTTTAAATTTACAAATCCATACAAAAGATACCTGACTGTCACTTATTTTTTATCTCGCTATTTCTGTGCAACTATTTCTATTATCTATTTTTAAACTAAAGATTGGTTTACACAGTTTTTACTTTTACAGTTACTCTACCATATGCATTTTATTTAAGAACGTTACCGCAAATGTGGTTAAAATTCAGTCCAAACTTTCATAGTCAAAATAAAACATTAGCTATTGTTTGATTGGTTAACCGAAAGAGTAGTTGAAACTCAGCCTTTACGACTTCACTTTAAAATAAAAGTGTCACTAATTGGAAACCTTTAAATAGTATTATTTACCTGTCACAGCATTCCAACTGCCAATATCGTCGATAACAAATCTTCCATCTCGATTTTTGCCAAAATTGAAAACATCATAAAGAATGCAAGAACCATAATCTAAAAAATATATATATTTTTATTCTTCAAACTACATTGTGGTTTCCGTCATATGCTGTTTTTTGCTGGTGTTGAATACAAGTATTTTTAATCAATTATAAGCTGATTATATAAAAGGTGGTAGAGCCTAGCTGTGGTGAGTTACTACAGCTCGAACATGGGCTGGCTCGACCGGGGAAGTACCACCCTCTCACAGAAGATCGGCGTGAAGTAGCCTTTACTGGCTGCGTTTCGACTGATGAGTGAGAGAGCCGGTTGCCCTTTCCCTTTTCCTACCCTTTCCTTTCCTTATTTCCACCCCTCCCTATCCCCAAAAAACAATGTTGGCAAAGCATCCGCAACAAAATGTTGCGGATGTCCATGGGCGACGGTAACCACCTTCCATCAAGTGGGCCGTCTGCTCGTTTGCCACCTTTCACATAAAAAAAAAAAAAAAATTAATATTTTTGCATGTATACATTTAAACGAAACTACATAAGTTATTCGGATACTACTCCCTTTTTTTACTACTTTTTTATATCAAAATAACCCGCATATTTGCTGACTGATTACGGTGCTGTAAAAGAAACGTCAGAATTATGTAGATATACAAAACTAAAACTTCAGTAGCTAGCTACATCAGGAACGGTATTAATAACAGAATTGAAATATTCATTGAGTATGTACATCTGTTGAATCAATAATATCAAATAAGAAAAACCTATCAAGTACGACTCGTATTTTTAATATATAGATGTTTAAATTTTGTTTATTTATTGTATATTTTTAGTGACTGAAAGTACATAGTTTTTTCAATGAATTTATACTACGTCAGTCAATGCGGTATGCACTTGACTGATATTAGTTTTCCTTCCTTAATTATCTTTAAATTTAATTTTAAGAGTTTATGTGTAGTATTTATTATTAAGTTAACTACATAGAATAGCCGCATCTGTATCCATGTGGCACAAATAGAAACCAGCAAAACAAAACTTAATTATATAAGAATGATTATTTAATTTAAAATTAAAATACGATTAAATATTTATCTTTTTATAATTAAGTTCTTTTTTTACAATAAGATCTCATAACAAATATACTGTTACCAATTATTTTTTTTGAATTCATGATATAAATGTTTAAACATATCATGTTTTATGCCATCTAATGAAATTGAGTCACTGAAAAGTAATAGATACGAATTTTATCCGAATATATAAATGGATACCAAGTTCATTATACACTAAACGTCGTCATCAGCCTATCAGAGCCCACTGCTAAGCAAAGGCCTCTTTCTCACATGGAGAAGGTTTGAGCATTAATCACCACGCTTGTTCAAGACGGGTTGTTGATTTCAAACTTATAATTGTGAAACTATAAGTCCAGGTTTCCTCACGATGTTTTCCTTCACCGTATGTCAGTGGTATCTAAATACATACTCGTATGACTCCGAAAAATCACATTGGTACTTGCCAGGTTTGAACCCGCGCCCTCAGCAGAGGCGGGCCCTTTAACCACTAGGCCACTACTGACTGTTTTCAGTGTTCCATTTTAATACAATGTAATCATATTAGAAAAGTATCTACCTTTATAGCTCGCTATTACGATCTCTGCATTCACACTTAAGTTGAGACTACGGAATAATGTCAAATTAGGAATATAACTAGTTAAACTTTTGGTATCATTATAACCGTAGTCATCACCAACTCCGTCGTTTATTTCATGCAAGATCAGCCATTTATGGACGGAATCGAATAAAATATTTTCTGATGCCTGCAACAACATTATAGCTTACCTAAATATCCTAAATGTTATTTATAATGAAACTTATAAAATTATGAAAACTCGCAGACGATCTAAAAGCTTTTTATGATACATTGATAGAGAAATGAAGCCTAATGACTTGTTGTTATCTTAAAAAGTATAAAATGTACTTACAAATGTTACGATGCTCTCAAATGATGCACATTTTGAATCTATCAGTATTCCAACGCTCGACGATGTTTGCTTTAAACAGGCTTCAATATTATTACTTTTTGTTTTATCAAAATGTTTTATGTTAACGTGTGTAACTCGTATGTTATGCTCGAAAGCGACTTTTGAAAATTTTATCCCTGTGGAGTAAAAAATATATATTCAATAACATTAAAAAAAATTATTCAAAATATATATATAATTGTAACAGTTTCAAAGATAAACCATGTTTGTGAGACTCACAGTCATCATTGCACGTCAAAATGCAAAGGAAAAAAGTGTTTTTATTTTTAAAATAACTTATGCTTAAGTTTATGAAATCTTTATTAAGTGCGAATGTTATTGGGAGCGTTAAAAACGTCGCTGCTACATGAAACCTCATTGTGAAAGGTGTACAAGAGTATCTTCACTTCTGCTTTTATAACCCCCTAACTATATAATTAATCCGTAATATTTTTTATTCAAGAAAACTCCTAACTACTACTCTGAAATAATCTAGAACTGACATACATTGCAGTTGTTTAAAGTATAATTGAATGTCCGCTTTTGAAGTTGCATTGTTTTTGCCACGGTTATGACAAAAAACTTCCAGTGCCAAGGCCAAAACTTAACATGTTGAAAATTTTATGAAGCTTACAATCTGTTAAATGTCTGAATCAAATTGATTAAATTGCTAAATTGATATCATTTGCTTGTCAAATTGATGTCTTTACAAAGCTGAAGCTCAATCAAATTTATTTATTTAGAGAAGTTCTTTGATTATAGTGGTTTACTGTTTAGTCCATCAGTATTAAGTACAATTACAAGGATGGAAGTGGTTGAACAAATTGTTTATGTTGGTATCAGAATATAAAAGTGAAGTCATATTTTGTCTTCATAATATCTTAAAACGAATGCGATTTTTTAACAAGCTGCATTTATTTGTTTCACAAATTTTGAGATCATAGACCTAATTAATCTTGTTTATGGCTAAGATTAATTATTTGCTTAGGTGCTTTCTAAACAAAAAAATTAAAGCGGTGGCTCAGATTGAGACCAAACTTTAGACTCTACAGTTTATTTAAACTTTTGGCAGATTTTTGTTCCAATATTTGTGACATGTTTTAGCGGAGGCAGATTCACTGGTTTCACCATCGAAAGGTAATTAAGTCGGTCAAGGATGAGACGACACCCATAAAATAAAAAGTCACAGTAGAATTCGTGTTTCACTTTTCAGTAGTTTCGTTCCTTCCCTTGTACCCCTCATCTCATGACGAAAGTTTTGATAAATATTCACTTCGTTTCAACCATCTACCGTTTCAACGTTTCAACCGGACTTTATGAATTTCAATATACAGATTCTACTCGAGGTATGCTGGGTAAGGTGTGACGATGAAAAGAGCAATATTTAAAAAACATAAGAAACAAGATTTTAGATGAATTTCTACGCACGGCACAGATGACCTCGTCACCAAAATATGGAGACAAAGGTACTTGTCTCTGAGGGTTGCCTTCTTAATAATAATTAATAGATAGGGTGAGTTGCAGATACGTTGCCAACTAATCTCATCTGTCACCTAATACTTGCATTTCATTTGCAAAAGATAAAAGGATGTATTACCTTTTTGATATATCCCGACCGTTACACTCTAACTTTCGACCATTTACAACAAGTATAACTAAATGAAACTGTGAAAGACATATGATTATGATGTACATGTATAACTTATTAAAACGACACTTTTAATCATGTCTAATTATCTCCACTATGTAATTTTTACGAACTTCTTAAATTACACATTTTTAACACTATCTAAAACAATACAAATTATCGAAGATCTTTTACAAGTAAAAAAAATTATTGCTGTTCATTATTCTCAATTCAACTTTGTTCCAATAATCAGTTTTTTTTCATAACGAAAAGGAATTAGTATTGAAAAAGTTTATCAACTACTTAACCTAAATAGTGTTTTAAAGACTGAAATATTGTTTAATATAATTTAAATTAATTTATAATTCAATTAGTTTTTTCAAAAATAATTAACTTTTACAGACCAAAAACGTACATGAAAATTATTTTATGTTAATTTTGTCTAATGTTTTGAAATATATTAAAACTATTCCTCAGAGTCTAGCCAGCACTCACACTGATACTTACTTGGAGAATAATCTTCATCAAGATATTATTTTAGGTTTGGTCTAAACGTCGTGCTAAACTTTTAACTCTTCGTGTTAAACAATTATAAAATAAGAAATTATATTTTATATTTTTGATTGCATATATCTTAATGATATCTAAAACTTTCACAAATATTTATATATATACGGAGTATTTATAATATAATAAATATCCCTTAAAGATTAAATTGCTTTTTTTGTCTAATGCGAAAGAATTTTAATAAAATAAATTACATAAATATACACCCTGACTGCATAACTTTTCAAATTTTGTAACATCAAGAATACCGCAATAAAGTTGAACTCCATTTCTAAACACAGAAGTGCAATATTTTTGTTTCAAGAAAATAGTTCATGAACCAACAAAATATTATTATTATTATTCAGTGTATACATTTTCTGTTTCAATTTGTACACATTCTTTAAGCAGATCAATTTTAAATCGAAATTGTTTTGGCAATAGCTCGAAGTCAGCAAGTCTCGGGCCAAATATTTGGAACGTGCAACGCCACTGCAGATAGGACGTAATAAAATAAAATCAGAATTAGCTTTATTCAAGTATAAATTTACATGTTCCTTTGTCAAACGTCAAGCTACACTTATTTTGAGAAAATTTAGTCTAGGGAAAATGTATGTGCTATGGAAAGAAACGTTACATACAACTTTCCTACAGTAAGCAATTTATAGAGAACGCAATGTTTAAATTTTGGAGGAATACTAAGTTGCTAAGCCACCAATCGATATGCTCAGAAATAAAAAATAACACAATAATTTAAGGAACTTTCAACTTATATGACAATAATCAAAAGGATATAAACTGTGCTTTTAAAAACTGGAAGTGTATGAATGTTTGTGGTAAATTTAAAATTATTAAACTGTTTCTCGTTACATATTTAGGTAAAGGTAAATAATACAAATACAGAACATCCTTGTAAAAACTTTCCTACTTGAGGTTTTCAAAGCGAGTGATAATATAAACTTAGCTTTTAATAACTTTTACGAAATATTGTGTACATTTCATCCTCTCTGTTTTTCTTTACCAAGACTGAAAAGAAATTTTAAAGTTTTAAAATCAAAATATTACAGGAATTCTCTAAACCATTAAATTTAATATACATTTTCATTACAAACTAAATTTTACTTTTCTAAATGTATATAAAAGTAATAAAGCTATATAATATTTATTTAAATACATATGTATGAGTTGTATGGAACATGTTAGTGCTGTCAATAAAAATATCAATCAAATCATAAATATTACGTTCCGTTCCACGCATATGGCATCTAAGTAAATAGTTTTTTCTAGACCAAAACATATTCAACACTCAAATGTGACAGAAAAACAGTAATTTATTGTAAGTGTTACGTGGTATAGCCTCAACCTCTCCGGGGAAATCAGCTCTTGTGACCCTCGTTTTGAACGACCATTGGAATTTAAAAATACTTTTAATGGAAGCGAATAAAAAAAATATTTGAACGTCTTCGAACAACCATGACTTGTTAATTAGAACATTTAAATGTGTTTCCAAAATATTTGAGCATAAATATAAAAAATTAAATTTACTCTTATTAAAATTACGTTGAAGAATATGTAAGAAATTAAAATTACTTTCTGACTGCAAGGACAGCGTGGACCAACTTTCCTTACTTACTACCTAAAAGTAACTTACTCCTAAATTTTTTTTAATGTCTCAAATGTGTTACAAGATCAGAGTTTTCTTTTAAATATTAAAGGGTGTTCAATTTTATCTAACTATGGTTATGAAATAAAAGTTCCAAAGAATAATTAATCTTGAATTTTATTATTCATCCATAACAATTATACAATAATTTTTTAAGCAACAAATATTCAGCTTAAAGATATTGAAAATATCTCATAGTCAAGATACAGACATTAAAAATATTTTTATATAATTGTTAATTGTATATCTCCATCTTTCAATTGCCGACGAGCCTAAAGAGGACGAAAAAACAGGTTTTAATCAAAACTAAATATTATTGATTTTTGGTTTGCTCCTTACATGCTACATATTAAAAAATAAATAAACATCGTCAGGGCAACATCATTATATATATAAAATATCATGTAGCGAGTGACGTCGCTGACTCCGTTGAACGAACACCAAGCCGTGTGAACCAGAATATTCCTGATACCACACAAACTATGGAAAGGCATTGCTATCCTAACATCTCGGCAATCATGTAGTCTTAGGTATAGGTTATAAGTTTTAACATGTAATTCTCATTATAATATACACAAGAATTGCTCATTTAAAGATATAAGTAAGTTTCGTCATTTTCGTGGAACTTGGTTGCCACCCTTTATAATTTTTTAAACAAGTTTAAATTAGTGTAATATAAATAGGTACCGTTCAACCAACATAATGACAATAGCTATCATGTATCCTACAGCCAACACTATGAAAGCAGGCGCGGCGCCACCCAGAGCTAGTGCTTGCGGAGAACTTAATTCACATTTATTTGGGCGGCCCAAGGTTCTTCTGTGTATACGGTTTAGAATTCCTGCTTCTGTTAAACGTAAAGAACTGAAGAAGAAGAAAGAAGAATAAGAAGCTTTTAGATAATGTAACATTTGGTAATCTGTCTCGTTCTTTTTCAACGATACAGAAAGAGGCTTTTAAAGTCAATATTTATTTTATAATGGAATTTACACTAAAAAACTGATTTTACACTGATAATAATATAATTATGTCATTTAAATTAAATCATACGTATATTTTATATTTCCAAATCAACTGCCTACCTCCATTTAAAGAATTCTTTATAGGCACTCTTTTTCTGCACACTTATATATGCCAAGGTCTTATCCATTGATTGTAAGGAACCCAAGTCACATAACTCGCGTTGGTTGAATGTCTCCGCGATTATTTTATTCGCACTATCGATTTCACCGTGATAAACATAACCTTTAACGGGAACGTGTGACATTAACTTAAGTTTTTTGTATTAAATGAGTAAGTATTATTTAATAAATTTATGCAAATATTCTATAATTTGACTTAATAAAACATAATGAGACCTAAAATTCTTTTAAATAAAACTAATATTTCAGTTTAAGTAATTTCAAATATTGTAAATAGAAAAATAATAATTATTATCTTCACCTCCCTCTTTGACTAAGCTTATTCCATCTCTCGCCAATTTTAATATCGGCTTTCCTTTCTTCTTTATATCGAGTGCTTTCTTTTTGAGTTGATATTCAGCTTTCGCATACTTTGTATTGAAATAATAATCTGGTAACTGCAACAAAGTACAATTAGCTTGTGAAATAAAACACAAATATGATATTAAATGTGCTACAGCTAAACATGAACATTCATACTTGTAGCCAAGAATAAGTAAAACCCGTGTCTTGAAAAACTGGTTGAAGTGGACTATCCAGGAGTTCCCACAGTGAGTTAATACTTGGAGGTGGAGCATTCAGAAGCCAACTGACCACACTACTTGTATAATAATTGTAAGTCAGAACACAGAATACTCCTGTCACTAAAATAGTCAGCTTTCTAACTGAAATTAAAATGTAATAAAGCGATATAAATTGAGAAATTATTTTCATTAATACATTTTCTTAACTGCCTTACCAGAGGATATAGATCGCAAATCTTCGACTTCTTCAAAAACTGAAAAAGCATATTACTTTCTAAATTCAAAACAGATTTTATTCTATCATTACAAATATTTATTAAAACCATCGGAACGTCACAGGATATATTATTTATAAACAAACATTGTTGGCAAATCAACGCAAAAACTGAGAATACGGAGTACACCAATGATGACGGTCTTCGTCCCTCCACAATAGTAACCAAAAATAAGACCATTCCACAAAGTATTAAAATTCCCACAACGGCCAACCACGCTTCCCATTTCAGTGGTTTTAGAAAACGATCCTCAAATTTACCAATTCCATGAGAGGGGATTTTATAAAAGAAGCTCGTCCTGTAAAGAGGCGTAAATGTAGTAATTTTTGTATGATTTTTGTTTTATATATTTACTTCTAAAAATATCAAGCCTCTTTTCTTTATCATCACCAGTCCACATTTTTACGGATGTTTTCAGTTACTTTGGCTGATATTTGAAATTAATATTAATTCCCTATTATTCAAACTAAACAGAAACCGAACTCACTGGAGGCGGCTTACAGGGAACGCTACGTCATATTGGTCAAAATGAGAAGGAAGAAACCTCGCAGCAGGGGTTATATCATGTTGGTGAAAATAAATACTGTTAGAATTACTCTGAAATACGAAACAAAATATTACCAGTACATAAATTATATAAGGATATGTATGCCAAGAAATAAAAGAGATTTTTTTACATGCTTAATTGTTACGTACATAATCATGATCTGGGCTGTAGTCGCCTATCCAGAAATCGACAACTGTGTAGTTAAACCTATAAAAAAAATAAGAAAGATCTGCTATTACAGTTTTCATGAAATGCATTCTAAATAACAAAACACAAAAGACTATTTTTAGGGTTATATATTTTGAATACTCGTTACTGTGAAATGGAGATCTTGTAATATAGAAAAATTTACCTGATATTATGGATGTTTGCAATCTCGTGCAGAAATATAAAGGAAGTGTGAGTTAAGACGGGCACGTTTGAAGCAGGGCTCCAAGTCAGTATCATCTCAGGATCAAATGTCTTTGGTGGAGGTGACATCTAAAAATGTTTTAATAAGCAACTTTTTAGGTCGTTTTTTTAGACTTTTGGCTATGATTTGCCAAAGAGTGTAATCGTAATAATTTTATATTTCATGTATTTCATGAGGTGCCTCATCCCTCAACTGGTTATCAGAGCAGTTAAATTTTGTCAATTTATGTTTAAAAATAATACACAAGGTATCATCTTTGATAGTATTAAAAATATTGGCCGTAAATATTTGCATAGAAATTCACTTCAAACGGTTTATAACTTTTTATCAAATCAATCGAAATATAAAAACATTATGCTTAAATTAAAAATTTTCAGAATAGGCTTTATTAGAGGAGTTTCTGTGAATTTATCTAAATAAAACGTTGACATTGTCAAAATATTCCAATATCCACTACGATCAACTTTATAGCGTTCAAAAGCAGCAACTTCATAATTATTGCTTTCGTTATTTATTTTGTAAATGAAGGTTTAACTTAGAAAATTTTAATTTAATTTGATGTCAATAAGACTCAATTATACTCACAACTAGTATTAAGTTTAAAACCAGTTGACGGAAATCAAATCGCCGATAGTATTCCGATGTTTTTGTGAGATGCAGACCTTAAATTAATGTCAAAATTACTTAATATTAACTTAATAACAAAGATATTGTGATAAAACAAAATTACCATTAACAATATCCCAGTTTCCAATAATGTCGACGATTAATTGTCCATGTTTAGTTGTACCAAAATTGTACACATCATAAAGATTGTAATGACCAATATCTGAAACATATATATATAATATATAAATATTATATTAAAATTACCAAAGTCAAAGGTGGCCTACTAGTACTTAAAAGGCCAGCCTCTCATGCATGAGGGCGCGGGTTCGATCCTGGCAAGTACCAATGTGATTTTTCGGAGTCATACGTACTTTCTAAGTGTATTTAAACACCACTAACAGACGGTGAAAGAAAACATAGTGAGGAAACCTGGACTTATAATTTCACAATTATAAGTTTGAAATCACTAACCCGTCTTGAGCAAGCGTGATGATTAATGCTCAAACCTTCTCCATGCAAGAAAGAGGCCTTTGTTCAGCAGTGGGCTCTGATATGCCGATGACGACGAATCATATTGAAAGTAAAATAAGTACAAATCAATATAACCAGCAAGGATTTCCTTCAAATCCTTATTTTGTTAATTTCCGAGAAAACCAAATTGATTTACATTCATAAATTTAAGTATTATTATTAATGTATTTCTATATATTTCAATACAAACACGAAGTAAGTGAAATGAAAATGAATAAATAAATGAATATTTAGGTAGAAGTGTTCGAGATTCAAATAACTTATTTTAAGCTGTAGCAAAAATACGAAGCAAACTCATTTAAAACAATGGCCTTAATTCATCGGAACCACAAGAGTTATTTGTTTTTAAAGAGTTTTGAAATATCTTCATCCTTTAAATACTTTAAGGAGTAATAAATTGTTACATGGGTAGCTGGTATTTTAAGTACGATATTTTAGGAATATTTAGTAAGATAATGGATATGTCTTGTGTTCGAGTTGTATTTGAAATAAATTAAGGATATTTATTCTTCTTGCATTTCAATTCAAAACAATTTCACGGATTTCGTCTCAAATTAGTAACTTTACTTTTGAAATTATTATAATAATTTTTAAGCCAAAATAGTTCCCTAAAATTTATATAAGTTAAATAGATCGCCTTATTCATTTCCGTATATTTGTAACGTATATTTTCATTTATAATTGAGACTATATGAACGACAAAATTGTACAACTTTCATGGTTTACATTCCTACACGTATATTTTCATATAAATTTAAGTAATTTTCATTATTGTGGTGAATATATTTAAAAAATACTCAAGTCTATGTACTCTATGAAGCCATTTCGCTAATTATATTATGGACTTTGTCTTAGATGATAACAAAACAAAAATATGAATTTTAAAAAGATAATTATATAAATATAAACATTTACTAGATAGATAGATAGATAAGGTTTTAGATATTGCTAAGATCTACTATTTCATTCAAACCGCCCTCAGGCATCATTGAATGATAGGCCTTAGGTACTTATAATTGTGGAATGAGTGCCATATATTTTTTAACCTTGATGATCATTGATTCGTGGTAAAGTAACTCATATTTTGGGAGTGTTTCAATTCTTTCAGTACATATTAAACATCCATTTATATATTATTTAGTTCGCACACTAAAGGTTACTTCGATGTTTATTATAATAATACAGACCTGTTTTCGTTGCTATCACAATGTCGGAATTTACACTTAAATTCAGACTATTAAATAGAGACAAAAAAGGAAATTTCATTTCTGAACTGTTGAAACTATGGTCCCGTCCTTTTCCATCAGCCGCATCATGCAGAATAAACCATTTATGGATAGTATCGAATAAAATATATTTTGAGGCCTGTAACCAAATTGAAAACAGATTGCAGTCATAAAGACTTCAATATTTTATACAAAATAATAAAGATAAATAAACCAATACAAAAATAACAACGATAAAGAACATTGGAAACAAACTTTTCATATCTTTTGTATTAATTCCTCGGACAGTTATATAGAAAACTGTTGAAGCAAGAGACATTTTTTTTTTTTATGTTAAAGGTGGCAAACGAGCAGACGGCCCACTTGATGGAAAGTGGTTACTGTCGCCCATGGACATCCGCAACATTTTGTTGCGGATGCGTTGCCAACCTTGTTTTTTGGCGATAGGGAGGGGAGGGAATAAGGAAATGAAGGGAAAGGGTAAGAATAGGGAAAGGGCAACCGGCTCTCTCACTCATCAGACGAAACGCAGCCGGTAAAGGCTACTTCAAGGATCTTCTGTGAGAGGGTGGTACTTCCCCGGTCGAGCCAGCCCATGTTCATAATATTTAAACAAAAGTTAATATACTTACGTATGTAAGGACGCTCTCAAATGAAGGACACTTTGAATCTATTAACACGCCGATGCTTGGTGGTGTTTGATTTAAACACATATGAATATTATCAGTTTCTTTTTTATCCCAATAACGTAAGTTAATACCCGTGACGGTCATATTGTGACGGAAAGCTGATTTTGGAAATCGCAACCCTGTGAGATAAAAATTGAAGGCACCAAAAATGTAAGCTTAAGGAATTAAAAAAACTCAATCTGTTCTCTCTCCCAGTATGGTTATTGAAGTCCCTTCTTGAGAACGAACTAAGACTAGCTTACATCTACTGAACATTATCAAAGTTACCTCACATCGTCGTCGATATTCGTAAAATATAAAGTAAATAGTCATTCTTGTGCAGTGCAAATAACGAAAAGTTAAAAAAAATTTGTTACTCACACAAATCATTACATGTCAAAACACAAACGAAAAAAGTACTTTTGTTTTGAAAGTAGCTAATGGCCAAGTTAACGAATTCTTTATTAAATGCAAATATTATTGGTAACATTAAGAACGTTATTGCTATATGCAGTTTCATTTTAAAAGACTATGGAGTTTATTTCTAACATACGTCTTTTATATCGCCTACAATTATATGTATACACAAATTACCTGCCATTTTTTAATGCTAATAAGCTAATCTCTTGGATTGACAATCCAATGTCGGGAATAACATGTTAGCAATGTAAATTATTTTCGTTTAAAACACAAACTAAAAACTATGCATGTACACTTATTTCGCTTTCTTTGTTTAGATTCAACTGATATCATAAAATATTCAAAGGATTATCAAAATATGATAGTTTAGTTCCACATAAAAAATGTTAACCCTGTATATTCGCAACTTAAAGTAATCTACATAGATTTCAATCTTTCTATCTACCTAAAACTCCAGTCTGTGTATAGACGGTCTTGCGGAAAGTATGTGGTACAAATACAGACATATCCGCAAGCAAAACATTACATATGAAAAAAAATACTATTTTATTACTTACGCTGTTCTTTGTACCTTCAATTTAAAATAAATCACATCGTATTGAATGCAATTACAATATTGCTATCATTTACCTGTCAATTCAATTCGATGTCTTTACAATTTGAAGCTCAATTAAATTTATTTATTTTAATAAGTTCTTTGTTCATCATTTCTGTCCTTATTATAAGTGACAGATAAAATTAAAACGAATAAGCAAATACTTCGTCACAGTCGAAACATAAATCATCAAACAATTATAACGGTTAATAAGAAAATCTTAGAATATTAAATAATCATTTAATTATAGCAATTTTGTCTATTGATGTACATATGTAAAATAAGGCATTTACAGAAATAAAATTGTACTTAAGTGAGTGAAGCTTCTAGTACAGTGATTTTGAGAAGGGAAGTATAGAGGCGTTCTACAGTGCACCGCTGGATCACGGAGATGAAAAACTGTTATTTATCAGTTACTAGGCAATGAAGTATACAAAGTACTCTATGCCTCCAATAGCACCCCTGTGTTCCGGGCTGGGGTCGGCGTGGTAACCCGGCCCTTTTGAAAGCCCGGCGTCGTCGGGGTGGTCCTAATTTGCCGGGATCGCCCCCATTCTCCGAGGGAGTAAGTCCGGTCTTTGCCAGGACCGGCCAGTCGCTGGTGTGCCCTGTCGCTGACAGATCCGGGGTACACCGACATAGCGGCCGATGGCTTTCGCAGTGGTTTTAGTGAGTAGGGGCCTGCCCAGGCCGAGCCTCACACATCCCTTCCGGCCCCACCAAAGTCGGTTGGACGGCTCGTAAAAAGAGTTTCCACTACGTCATCAAAAAAAAAAAATACAAAGTACTAATCTCATAAAATTAGTCACAGTCACTGTGCTAGATCTTTAGGTTTTGTTGCCTTTAAATATAGTAAGTTCCAGGTTAATTATAACGTTTTTTTCTTATATTATTTCTTTATTTATTAGTATTAATATATTTTTAAATAACTGTAAATTATTTTCTAAATTTTATTTATTGTAATGTTTATGGATAATATTGCTGTAATTTTATTTGAAAGATATAAATCTTGGACCATG